CAGGATTAACAAATTGATAGAAAATAACAATTTTTTTCGAGATCAAAATGCAGATTATTTAATTTTATTATATGAATTATTTTCAACAGATTAGAAAAAAAATAAATTACTGTAGCTCATTATATAATCAAATTACATAATTATACGAAAAAAGGAGTTTTAAAAAAGGAAAGAAAAATAAATAATACTATAACTAAAATTTTTTAACCAAAACAAAAGTGCACGTCAAGGACTCTTAAACAAATATTTTTATAACAAAAAGATAATTATATAATTTTCCATGTCAAAGTCCTAAATATTAGGCAACTAATTAAATGATTTTTCCTAAATATGAGAAATATTATTAAATAACATCTATAAGTTATAAAATAAAATTTTTAAAAATATATAAGTTATTGAAATAATGAATATTGATATCGCTGATCTAGGCGAGAAGTAAAATAAACAAAAACTTTTTTCAAAAAATATTAAATTATATTTAATTCTTAAAATATAATTGTAACTAAAAGAGAAAAATACCTTTTCAAGATAGAATTAAATTGTTTCCAACTCCAAAAATTCATAACATAAAAATTCGTACCTCTTTTCTTCAAATAAGAAAGAGTTTCAGTAGTTGTTCAATTTTTTCCGTTAATGGCTTTGAATCTTAAGTTTAATGGTTTCTGGTGAGATATTGAAGATTTTGAGTTTCCAATGTCTTTCAACGTAAGTTAATTAATATATTTGGTCATAAATTAGAACTTTACTTTATACAATATAGTTGATTTTAAGGTCCTAAATATTAGGGCTTCCTATATAATAATTCAAATATGGGAAGTTTTAATAAATACAATTTTATTTGATTTTTAGGGTAAATGATAATTTTGTCTAGTGTGAAATCTTTTTTTAAAGGGCAAAAAAGACGAACGACATTTCGCTAAGGGTCTTCGTGCTTTTAATAGAGTATAGACTAGTTACTATGTACGTGCATTGCATGTAAATCTTTAGTCAAAACTTTGATATGAAAAAACAACTAACTAAATTTGTAACAAATTATTTACAAAATGAAATAATCATTGTTGCTTTATCATATTCAAAGCAATAAAATATTAATTATACAAATATTATGATAAATCAAGTCCAACTACTAAAAAATCAGGGTTTAGCGACAGACAAATTCTGTAGCTAAATAGAAAAATTCGTCGCTAATCTCATTTAGCGACGGATTATCAAAAGATTCTGCTAGCTACGAGCGTTTTAGCGACAGATTAGCGACGACGTTCGTAGCTAATTCCAGTTTTTTTTGTAGTGATCCATGATTAAAGATTTTAGAGAAGTATGTATTTTTAATTGCTTCTAAAAATAATAGCATATAAATATTTTTTTGGTATATATGTGAATTATGTATATAGTATACATAATTTATATACTATTTGGCTAACTAATATAATTATTTTGACAAAGCGATTAATTTTGTATTTTGCCCTGGATTTAAGCATTGTGTACTCCATGGTTATTTAATAAATTACAAGAGATTTCGATTTTTGTACATTTTTCACTCAAAATGATCACCTTTCTCCTTAAAATATAATAAAAATAATAGTCACAACTATGTAAGAAAAAAAATTACATATGACACCTATTAAGATGATTTTTTTTTAAAACATATAATGTAAGTTTTTGAGAAGTTTTTTCACAATTTTTGAACATATGCAAGAATAATAAAATACATGATTAATCACATGAATCACATAATTGTGTCGAGTTCGTATCTTTTTACTTGAAAATGTTATCGAAAATTACGAAGAAGTATAGGATAAATTTGAAACTCATTTCAATCGTTTGAGTTAAAACAATTTTAATAATTTTGGATAAATCTCCACTATTTAAATATATACTATCGAGAATAATCAAGAATTATGTGGACATGAATAATAGATACATTTAAAAGTATATAAATACTACAAATATTTATTTTATAAAATATATAAATATTTATTATCTAGAATAAGGTAAATATGAAAAGATAGATAATTTGAAAAACAAAAATTAAATTCATAAAATCAATATCCTTAGAACAATACACAAAGATAAAATCAATACCTTATATTATACAAGCTTCCTATTTGTTTAGAAAGTTCCAGTTGATTTTTACATTCTGTATGAACATCGTAATATATTTTTGTTTTTTGTAGCAGAACCATAATTGTGTTTCACTTACTTTAAATTATTTTTAACCAATCATCACACATAATATATTAATAATAATATTCTAAATATTTTGCTTTTTATTTTAAAATAAATTGATGTAACATTAAATTGGAAATAATTTATGGCACATGAGCATCTAATAAAAATAAACCAATCAAATGAAAAATTTGTTAAACTTCGATATATAGAAGACTTGAACGAACTTGTTCTAGGAAAAAATCTAACATATATCCATCGATTATCTTTGAAAAATTTGTAAAGGAATCAATTACTCATACTGAAGTAAAAATAAATAAATTAAAGAGAACAATCTCATTTGTATTATTTGAACCACCTTATTATCAAGTAAAAGAAAAATATTCATATAAACTTGCCCTTATATTTTTTTTTAATTTAAAAGTAGATGTTATATTTTAAAAGACTATAATTTAATTATATTTTTATTATATAACATTTTAAAAATTAACTTAATTTATTATATAATAACTCATCATATAGGAACACATAATATATCATATAATTTAGTTTTAGATTTATATGAACTATACAAATTAACTTTAAAGAGTAGTAAGAATTTTTCAATTTGTTTAAATGTTATAAATGTTTCTAGAGCATAGTACTAAATTTTTCATTTAGTACGTTCCGTGTTTCCTTGTTTGTTATAGAGAATTGTAATTAGGAACAATAATTCTTTTTAATAGAAAATTATGGATGTGCTTTTCTTATTCAAGTAGGATATTTTATATGATTGGCAATATGTTTAGTTTAAATTGAAAAAGAATTCTATTATTAGGTAATTTACTATTAGATCCTTAAATTATACAAATATTTAAGGCATAAAAGTCGATCAAAATTTCAGGTATATTTTAGTCAATCAACATTCAACATAAATTATTCGTGCTTTTATAATAATACTAATCTCTATGTACGTGCGTTACACGTAAATTTTCAGTAAGTATTTATACGAAAGAACAATAAATTGACAAAAAAGTAGAAGTATATAAGAAGAAAAAATCATGTCAAAAGCAATTGGTCATAGAAAAGATGCACCTTTTACATGTTGAAAATTGGTATCATTACATTAAAATAATATTTAATTCAAAATAATTGGAGTCCTATGAACCAGCATAGATGATCAATTTTGTCACGTTGATTACATATTATATGTATCCGTAGAGCAGAGAAATATAGATTGTGATCATATCTTGCCTAATATTTCTTTACAAATAATGTGTTTGATGTATGTTTTTTTCGAATAATGTGTATAGTACAAATTTAGTTACTAAGCAATGTGGTCTTATATTCAAAGTAAAATTAGTTGTATTTTAAATCCAGAAATATTACGAACGCGTAACTAGGGCAAATAGTGTTACAACATATGTTAGTAATCTTTCCACGATTAAGTGATGAATTTTCTAACTTTAAGTAGAATTGCCAGTTGATATATTTGCATCTTCAAAACAAAGAAAAGACCAAAAAAGAAAGATGCTCAAAGTTTCGATTTTGGTTTCGCATGTGAATTTTATTGTTTGGGTAGATTTGTGTGTTTGGATTCCTTTGTGAAAATATTTTTCAAAAGATTTGAAGGTTTTTTAATATAAATAGAAAATGGTAAAAGAAAAAATATTTCTGTAATCAGCTCGAACTATTTTCTTGTACTACCGGTACTCTAGATTTCATTCCATGGAATAATGTAATCCCTAATCCATTATATAGTATGCTTCATAGCGTTAATGTCTACATGGGATCAGTATGGTTTTGCAACTTTGAAAACATATGGGATTCTATTGTTTTGTGTTATTGTCCAACTTGAATTAGTATAGTATTGCATTCCATTACTAAATCAAAAAGAGAATTAATTATTAATTTATATGGACTTCAAATATTATCTATAACATGTCGTTCTTGTCAATATCTAATTTGGTCGAATAATCTATATATTATCTATAATATATCAGAATGCTTAATATAACAAATAATGTATTGATATGGAAAATAACTTATTAGATATTGCACACAAAAAAGTGACTTAATATTCCAACAATTAGATTAATAGAAATTCAATTGGACAAAAGCATTAGTAAAATGGTTGACATTAAAAATATGAGACAAAACTTTTAAATTCTGAACCATATGGTTACACTAACATCATGCTTAAAATTTAAACATAAATATTACGTTGATGTTTAAGACTTTGATGTCCAAAATTAAAAAATATGACAAAAATAAAGAAGTACGACACAAAAACAATTACAATAAAAGTTAAGATGTCATTGTTTTTTTTACTTTTTATAAAATTTCTAAATCACTTTATGTTGCCGATGAGACACAACAACAAAATGATAGAGAAGATAGGGTTTCTTTTTTAGAAGGCCACGTTGGGCTACACGGGTTACAGGCAGCTATTGGGCCTATTGGGCCTTCATCGGATTATTTTCTTTCTTTTATCACATGGGTTGTTCATAAGTATATAGTTAGAGTAGCTTTTAGTAACCTCTAGAACGGGGTAATTATGTAAATGTTCCTTTTTAGTCAGGTGTGATAAGTGTAGATACAAGTGAGGAGGTTAGTTAGTTAGCTAATTGTATATATCTTCATTTTCTGTCTTGTAAACGGTTACAGACTTGAATAGAAGACAAATTCATTTTGAGTTCTTTAAAATTTCTCTCTCTAAATCCAACATGGTATCAGAGCATCTGCTCGACCCAGTTGATTTTCTCTACTGTTTTGTTACAAATTCCTTCTAGATCCTTTGATTCTCTACTCAAATTCATTGAAATTCTTCAAAACTTCTCCTTGAAGCCGTTTTGATGGCAGCAACAGCGACTAAAATCGATGCCGATCATCCATACTTTTTGCATGCTTCTGATTCTCCTGGAATGTGTCTGATTTCTCCTTCTTTCGATGGAACTGGATACGGAGGCTGGAGAAAATTAATTTTGATTGCTTTATCTGCTAAAAACAAGCTAGGTCTTATTGACAACATCTTAATCAGGCCTAAGGATGATTCACCATATCTGAGATACTGGATAAGGTGTAATGACATGGTGTTTGCTTGGCTTTTGAATTCCCTTACTCCAGACATCAGGCCAAGCGTAATTCATTCTAAACCTGCGAGGATTCTGTGGAAACAACTTGAGGATAGGTATGGGCAGTCAAACCTAGCACAGTCATTTGATTTGCAAAAACAACTATTAGAAACAGTGCAAGGATCCTCCGACATTGCTACTTATTTCAACAAGATAAAAGCTATATGGGATGAAATAGAATTTCTCGATGCAAAGACTGTATGCATTTGTGTTGATTGTAAGTGTGGAGCTAATGATAAAAATGATGCACTTGAAGAGAGACAGAAATTAGTTCAGTTTTTAATGGGGCTAAATGAGCCATACACTAGTGTTAGGGGAAGCATCATGATGATGCATCCTCCACCTAATATTGATAGGGCCTATTACTCACTCTTGCAAGAAAAAAGGCAAAGAGGGATACAGAACATGGGACATTATCCTAGTGAATCTGGTTCATTTGATGTGCCGACATAGAGGTTTAATTCAACTCAAGTGAAACCAACAAACTCTACAATGAATACTGGTGGTTATAGTTTTTGAAACAATCAAGACAACAGGAGAAGTCTAAATTGCAACTATTGCAAAAAATCAGGCCATACAATCGACAAGTGCTATAAACTTCATGGTTATCCACAGAATTTCAAGCCAGGGTTCAAACAAAGAAGATTTCAGAATCCTATTCAAGGAAATGCAGTAACAACAGATGAAGGTTATGGTCAAGTTCAATCTATGATGTAGAAGCAACCATTGGTATAAAGCAAGAACAACTAACACAATTAATGGAACTACTTCAACAAGTTAAAGTTGGTCAGGAAGCTGTAACAAATTCTGAAACCAATATCAATGCTAATTGTGCTGGTACATGCTTGCTTATTCTTTCCTATTCACAAAACAATCTTAGGAGTCATATTTGGATTCTTGACTCTGGTGCTTCAGAACACATGACCTTTGACTCTAGCATCATTGTTAACATCAAACCATTACCTAATCTTGTTAATTTTAACCTTCCTAATTCACAAAGAGTAAGAGTAACTCTAGCAGGACAGAGTAAGAGTAACTCTAGCAGGACAGGTTACTATACATCCAGATTTGACTTTACATCGATTTCTTTATGTCCCAGATTTTAAGTTCAACCTAATTTCAGTTAACAGGCTGTACACTCATTTCAAAGTTCTTCTTACCTTTGCTGAAACTTGTTGTTTGATGTAGGACCTTTCTTTGAGAAGGCCTCTGGTCCTTGGTGATGTCAAAGCTAGTCTCTACCTTTTCTACTCAACTCACAAGCTTGTTGATTGCCTGCGTTCAAATAAAGCTGTTACACTTTCACAAAACTCTTCTCAAACATGTTGCACTTCTTATACTATGTCTAATTCTGTTAATATTGATAAAAATCTGTGGCATGTATGGCAAGGACATTTACCCATTTCTACCATGAGATATATTTCTGTCTTACCACAATCTACTATTTTTAAAGAAGATATTCTTTGTTCCATTTGCCCTATGGCTAGACAACACAGATTACCTTTTCCAGACAGCACAAGTTTTACTTCTCATATTTTTGAACTTATTCACATTGATACCTGGGGACCTTATAAGGAACCCACCTACAACGGTTTTAAGTATTTCCTTACTATTGTCGATGACTTTAGTAGGGGTACTTGGACATACCTACTGAGTACTAAAAGTAATTCTTTCACTGTTCTCAAATCTTTCATAGCTATGGTAGAAAGACAATTTGAAGTCAAAGTCAAGAAAGTTAGGTCTGATAATGCCTTTGAGATAGGAAGCAGTCTTGCTGCCATAGCTTATTTTTCTTCCAAAGGAATTATTCACCAAACCACCTGTGTTGGGACCCCTTAGTAAAATGGTATTGTTAAGAGAAAACATAAACATTTGATGGAAACCTGTAGGGCTCTTCTTTTCCATTCCAAAGTACCCATTTGTTATTAGGGGGAATGTCTCCTTACTGCCACTTTCCTTATTAATAGATTTCCTACCAAACTTCTACACTACAAGTCTCCTTATGAAATATTGTTCCACAAACCACCTGACTATACTTTTCTTAGGAATTTTGGCTGCTTATGTTTTGCTTCTACTTTGCCTAATCTTAGAGGCAAACATGATCCAAGGTTTATCACTTGTGTATTCTTTGGTTATCCTACTGGTAAGAAAGGCTACAAGCTATTAAATTTAGCAAACAATAAGATCTTTTTCTCTAGAAATGTGATTTTTCATGAATCTATTTTTCCTTTTACACATCCTACCACTACTTTCTCTCAGTTATTTCCTATTTCTTCCAATATTGATTTTTCTACACCACAACCTCTTACTTCTTCTGATTCGTCTATTCCTCTCCTTACTACTGATTCTCTTGTTCCTATTTCCTCTCCTGCTTCACTTCCTCCATCTGTTCCTGGTCCTGTTCCTAGTTCACCTTCTACACCATCTTCTACTCCTTCTACTTCTTCTAGTGTTTCACCTACCTCCTCATCTACACCTCCTTCTCATCCTTCTATCAATCTTGCTTCTTCTTCTGGTGTTTCTCATGATGTCTTGCACAAATCTTTAAGAGAACACAATGCACCTAGTTATTTGTCTGACTATATCTGTGGAGCAGTGCACCTAACTGATGCCTCTCACTCTTGTTTTATCTCACATGTTTTCCCTTCTACTATTTCATCCAATCTACTTTCTACTCTTAATCAAAGCCTGTTAAATTCCGTACCTAATGTTCATGAGCCTTCTAGTTATTCTCAGGCAGTATTGGACCCTGGTTGGCAAGAAGCAATGGCAAAGGAGCTTAATGCTTTGAAGGCCAATGATACTTGGGAGGTAGTTCCATTACCAGTTGGTAGAAAGGCCTTACCTTGTAAGTGGGTTTACAAGGTTAAACTAAAATCTGATAGAAGTGTCGAAAGGCTCAAAGCTCGTTTGGTTATTCGAGAGACACTCAATGAGAGGGGATTGATTTTACAGAGACTTTCTCTCCTGTGGTCAAATTGACCACTATTAGATGCATTCTTGCTATTGTTGTCAAGAAGAATTGAGTACTTTATCAATTGGATGTGAATAACGCTTTTTTACCTAGGGATCTACATGAAGAAGTCTATATGAAATTTCCTGCAGGCTTAGACCCTCCTGCTCCTAACCTAGTTTGTCGTCTCAAGAAATCTCTCTATGGTCTTCGCCAAGCCTTTAGGTAGTGGTATTTCCGCTTGACTGCTGCTCTCAATTTCAAGGGTTTAACTCACTCTCTTAACGGTTACTCTCTTTTTTACAAAAAGAGTGGTGATTCTGTTTCCCTAGTGGCTGCTTATGTAGATGATATTTTACTAACATGCAACAATATTTATGAGCTGAATGATTTGAAACAATTCCTAGATCATGAGTTTAAAATTAAAGACTTGGGGAACTTATCTTATTTCTTGGGCATGGAAGTGCTTCGTGAGCCCTCTGGTCTTATTCTCTGCCAACGCAAGTTCACCCTTGAACTTCTCACTGAATTTGATTGTCTTGGTTTGTCCCCTGCCTCTTCTCCTTTGGATCCTTATTCTACATTGCATGCCGGTGTTGGGCCTCCTCTTGCCAATCCTCTGCTCTGTCGTCTTCTTTTCGGAAAACTCAATTTTTTAACTCACACTCGTCCTGGCATCTCTTTTGCCGTTCATCATCTTAGCCAATTCATGCAAGACCCTCGAGAGCCTCATTTTTCTGCTGCTCATCATTGTCTTCGTTATCTTCTTCGTGACCCTAGTTTGGGCCTCTTCATGGCTGCTAATCCTTCTCTTGATTTGCTTGCTTTTTGCGACTCTGATTGGGGTTCTTGTCCTGATAGTCGTCGTTCTGTTAGTAGGATTTTTATCAGTTTGGAGGGCTGTTCTGTTTCTTGAAAGTCTAAGAAACAACCTTCTGTCTCTTTGTCTTCCGCTGAGGCCGAGTACCGGTCAATGTGGTATGTCGTTGCTGAACTGACCTGGCTTGTTCGTCTTCTTGACGATCTTTCTATCATTCCCTCATTGCCAGTGACTCTTCTCTCCGTCAGTCAAGCTGCCATCCATATCGCCAAAAACCCTGTATTTCACGAGCATACCAAATATGTGGAACTTGATTGCCATTTTGTTTGGCAACAGTTCCAAGTGGGTCTCATCTCTCTCTCTTTTCTTCCCTCTCACCATCAACTCGCTGACCTCTTTACCAAGCCCCTTTCTGGGCCTCTTCGTCGTGGTTTACTAGGCAAGTTGGGCGTGCTTTCTGCCCCCTCCAACATGAGGGGGGTGTTGCCGATAAGACACAACAACAAAATGATAGAGAAGATAGGGTTTCTTTTAAATGAAAGGCCACGTTGGGCTACACGGGTTACAGGCAGCTATTAGGCCTATTGAGCCTTCATCAGATTATTTCCTTTTTTTTTATCACAAGGGCTGTTCATAAGTATATAGTTAGAATAGCTTCTAGTAACCTCTAGAACAAGGTAATTATGTAAATGTTCCTTTTGAGTCACATNATATATATATATATATATATTCATTTTCTATCTTGTAAACGGTTACAGAATTGAATAGAAGACAAATTCATTTTGAGTTCTTCAAAAATTCTCTCTCTAAATCCAACACTTTATTTCTCTCTAATTCATATATATGACCTTAAACCAAAGCATTACTCAATTGCAAAATACAAAAGCAATAAAGAGAATTAACAATACCCATTGGAGAACCTTACTTCTTTCTACAACAATACAAATAATGAATAATAGCGTCTTTTATAGAAATAATTGACTTATTCTTTTTCTACATGGATTCATAAAATAAATCTGAATCACATACTAAATTGATAAAAAATAACTAAACTAATCATATTTTTGTCCCAAAAAAGGGCGGTTATTGCACAAAGCAAACTGTTGTCGAAGAAGAAGTAGGTGTATACTGTTGTCCAAGGAGGAGTCGGTTACCAAGAAGAAGTTGGCGGTGAGGAGTAGAGTCCAATATATGGAATACTATAGCAGATTTTATCTAATATGAAGTTTGGTTCCTTGCTGTCTTTACTTTATGAAATAGTGGAATACTATAAGTAGATTTTATGGAATAATAAACTATAATAAGGAAAACAGTTAAACAAATTTATGGAAGAATACAAGTAGGTATAACGACCCGGCCGGTCGTTTTGAGAATTTAAGCTTTGTTCGGCGATGTACGGTCATGAACAGCTTCGTAAAATGAGAATCAACTTGTGTGCATGGTTGAATTCAGTTAATGGATGATTCAGAGTCGAATTGGAAGAAGGAATGAAGTTTTGGGAGTTTGAACGGTGAGAATTTAACCAGAATTGGACTTTTGAGTAAACAGCCTCGGAATGAAATTTTGATAATCCCAACATCTTCGTATGGTTATTTTGACTTAGGCGCACGTCCGGATTCAGATTTGGAGGTCCGTAGGGTAAATAGGCATTTCGGCAAAAGTTGGAAAAGTTGAAATTTGAAAAATGGAGAAGTTTGACCCATAGTTGACTTTTGTGATATCAGGGTCGGAATGTGATTCCGAGAGTTGGATCAGCTCCATCATGTTATTTTGGACTTGTCTGCAAAATTTGGCATCATTCTGGGTTGAGTTGATCGGTTTCGGCACAAGTTTTCGAATTTGGAAGATTTGGATGTTCATAGTTCGATTCATGGTATGATTCGTCGTTTCGGCGTTGTTTGATGTGATTTAAGACTTAAAGAGAGTCCGTGTTAGGTTATGTGACTTGTTTGTGAGTTTATATGGGGTCTTAGGGGCCTCGGGTATGTTCCGGGTGGGCTACGGGTATTTTTCCCTATTTTTGGAACTGCTGTTTTGCTGCTTCTGATATCCTTCTTCGCGATCACGAACAGCCTCTCGCGTTCGCGATGCCATGTTGATGACCACCTTGAAATCCTTCTTCGCGTTCGTGTCTTTCTCTTCACGTTTGCGAAGCCCTGCATTTTCCTTCTTCGCGTTCGCGTCCTTCCCTTCGCGTTCGCGAAGCCTTGCATTTTTCTTCTTCGCGTTCGTGAGCTTATCATCGCGTTCGCGATGAGCAACCTGGGCAGCCTTAACTTTTCTTCTTCGCAAACGCGGCCCTCTCTTCGCGTTCGCGATGCATAAAAACCTAGGCAGACAAAATATATCCTAAAATCGAGGGTTTCACCATTTTCATTACATTTTGACTTCTAGAGCTCGGTTCTTGGCGATTTTTGTTGGTTTTTTCACGAAATTCGATTAGGTAAGTGTTCTTCAACTAGAGTTAAATATATTCCATGAATTTTTCTTTATTTTTATCATTTAAATTGTGTTTTGGGTTGGGAAAGAGTTGGTTTTTGAAGAAAAAATTTAAAGTGAAAAATCATGATTTGAGGGACCAAATAGTATCAGAATTGGATAAATTTTGTATGGTTGAACTCATTTTGGAATGGGTGATCGGATTTTGTAAAATTTGATGGGTTCCAAGGTGCGGGCCCAGAGGTCAACTTTTGGGTCGATTTTTATATTTTTGTAAAGATCGAAACTTTATTATTTCGAATAGTTCCTTACACGATTTATGTGAGTTTTGGAGTTGTTATAGTTGGATTTGAGCTTTTCGGAGGTCTTTTCGCCCAAGAAGTCCATTTTAGAGTACCAAGTTGTCGTCTTTGAGGTAAGTATCTTGCCTAACCTTGTGGGGGGGGGGACTTTCCCTTAGGATTGAGTCTTCTATGTTGATTGAAATCCATGTACGCGAGGTGACGAGTGCGTACCCAGACTTAATTGTGGATAGTTGGCCTTTTAGGGTTCTTAGATTCTTATATTCACTATGTATGGAGTTATTCTTGATATGACTGAGTTCCTGCTTATTAGTTTCGTCTCTACATGCTTAGTTTGAATTGTTTGCTGTATGATTTACTCTTATTGCCTAATTGTCATCCTGTTTGATTTAACTGAAGAACTTCGTCTCTCTTATCATCATACTACCTTTTCATAACTGCCTGCATTACTGAGAGTTATTGTCATCCCACCTATAATCGCATAGTCTTAGGTGCAGCTAAGATCACCTTCCCTTAACTAAAATTACCGAATGTTCTTGTAACTTCCCAACCTTAAACGGAGTTTAGATGACCTATATCTTTGTCGACTTTCCTTTATTTAGGACTACTAGACTCGTGTTGTCCTCCTTGTACTGATTTTGTTTATTTGGGATTGTCACTACACGTTAATTTCCCCTTTCGTTGAATTGTCCCCTTTATGCCTTTCATTGTTTTTATTGTGGCTATTCTTGTGAACTGGTTATATCGATTCCCTGTGATTTGAAGTTTTGGAGTGAATTCACTCGCTATATTTTGTATTACTGTCACTGTTATTGTTGTGCAGGTTGTGTTGGTGCACGAGATCTCTGCCGTGTGATTGTGGTTGTGTTGTGCACGAGGTCTTTGCTGTGCAGTTATTGTTGAGGGGTTGCACGAGGTTTTTGTCATGTTATTATTACTATTAATATATTGCACATGCGGCGTGACAAGGCGGGATATGTTTATATGCTTATATGTGGGTTGCGCATGTGGCGAGATAAGGTGGGAACATTATGATGCACGTGCGGCGAAACAAGCGGACACTTATTATGTTATTATTTGCACACATGGTGAGACAAGGTGGGCTATGTCAGGGATTGATTGTGAAGAGTTGTGATGGCCTGAGGGCATCCTTGTTTGTTAATATTGTGATTGTGGTACGCTTAACTGTATGAGCTTTATCTCGTGGAAGTTGTGAGGAAACATCGTATGTGTTGCCTGCTCTTCTCCTTATGTCTATTAGCTGGTAGGAAATTTTGTTAGAGCACTTGCACAAGCATACACGTAGTTGAACACTCCTATTGGATATAAAGTCCTCCTAATTTTGCTGAGTATAGATGTACACCCTCATTTACTTATTATATATGTGAGAGTGTGACTATGCGGCTTATGGGGGCACAGGATGCCAAGTGTTAGATTTTAGGTACTGGGACTCGTGAGTTGTAATTGT